CAGTGCCACTGAACTACATCCCTGACCAATCCAGAGGCACATTTTAATCTCCCATGCAAATGCTTTTGTTCTCCTTGGATATGAACTAATTTACCTTGCCTAATGCAGAGAAGCTTATCACCTATAAACATAGGCCTGGAGGATTTGGATGCTTTTCCTCTTTTTTTCCCCTACTGGTAGACACTTATTTCCAGGTTTCCAGTTAGAAGCAGCAAAAAATAGCAAGGCAGGACTTTCAGCTAAAAGAAAAATTGTTGGCCTTTGATTTAGTTAGGCTGACAAAAATGGAGTGAGGGAAAGAGGGAGGGAGGGGGTGGAGAGGGGAAGAAAGAGATAAAATGGGGTTAAAAATCCTAGTTATCACATGGTTAGTGTGGCCTCTGCCTCAGTTATCTTTCTGATCTACTTATGAGATGTAGAGTCTTACCACCATCCTGCTGACCTCACTAGTTTCATAGGAAAGAGACTTAAAATTTAAAAATAAAGCAAATTTTTGAGGTTTGGTGCAAATTTTAAGGCTCCATCTCAATGCTTTTTTTTTTTTTTTTTTGGTAACAATACCAGGATTGATCCTAGGGCCTTTGAACTGAGCTACAACACCAACCATTTATTTTTTATTTTTTTATTTTGAGACAGGTACTAACTTGATTACCCAAGCTGGGATCAAACTTGTGATCTCCCTGCCTCAGCCTCCTAGAGTGCTTGGATCGTAGTCGTGCGATATCAAGCTCTACTGGATTTGGTGCTATATCTAAAACTTTATCTCCCAGCTTTTTAAATATCTATAATGATGTCAAGATACACAACATCTTTGGTACCCCAGAAAGCTTTTTCATATCCCTTTCCAGCCAATAATCCTCTACTCAGAGGTAACCACTCTGTTCACTTCTGTTCCATACATTTTCCTGTTCTTGAATTTCACATAAGTACTGTACTTTTATCCATCTAATTTCATTTGAAATTCTTGTACATGTGTGCTGGTGGACATTAGCACTCTTAATTTGGTTATATATTTAAGAGCAGCATTGCAGGTTCATAAAATGGAGGTGTGTTCAGCTTTAGTATATACTGACAAACAGTTTTCCATGTAGTTGCATCAGTTAAGTTTTACCAGCAATGTATGAGAATTCAAGAAGCTCTATATTCTTAATGCTGGATGTCAGTCTTCAATTTTAGTTATTCTGGTGGACTTTTGTATATGTCACTGTGGTATTAATTTGCATTTCTCTGATGAGAAATAATGATGAACAACTATGTGTTTCTTGGACATTTGCATAATTTCTTCTGTGACATGTAAGTTCAGTTCTTTTGTCCTGTTCTTAAAAACCACATTTTAGTTTTTCTTACTGATTTACAACAACTTAAAAATGTGTGGATAGAGTGCATATAAGTCCTTTGTTGGATATGTAGACAGTGGATGTAAGTCCTTGGTTGGATATTTATTGTATTTTTTCTCCGTCCTATGATTGAACTTTTCTCTCAAGTTTTCTTTAGATAAGTGGAAGTTATTAATTTAATGAAATTCAACTTATTAATCTTTTCTTTCATAATTAATGCTCTTTGTGTCCTGTAAAAAAAATCTTTTCCTACCTAAGATTATGAGTATTTCCACTTGTAGTTTGATCTAGACACTTTATTCTTTTATCTTTTAATTGATTTTATATTGTTTTATCTTTTATATTTTAAATTAGTATTATTATTTTATTTGGTGTGAAGTAAAGGTCATGATTCCATTGATTTGTCTGTCCTTGTGCCATTACTATGCTGTCTTAATTTACATAGTCATAGTCTTAATATCTTTTTAAAATTTTGTGTTTTCAATTAACATGTAATATTAATGGTGTACCATGTGCTGTTTCAGCACATGCATACAGGTGCATTCATCAAAGTAATTAACATTTCTCTCTCCTTTTATTTCTTTATATTTGAAGCTTTGAACTTCTCTCTTCTAGTTCTTCATGATATTTATAATGGGTTTTTATCAACTATTATCATTCCTTCTGTGTTTTGGGGCCATTACCTGATCTTCTTTTATCCTCCCTCCCTACTACCTGTTCCATCCTCTAGTAATCACAGTTATACATTTAACTTGACTCTTTAAACTTCCATATGTGAGAGAGAATATGCTGTATTTGTCTTTCTGTGACTTGGTCTTGATTTGCTACTACTATATATCCTCAAGCTTTATTATTTAAGATGTTTGGTTATATTAAATCCCCTTTGTATCCTTGTAAGTTTTAGAATCATTTTGTCTAAAGTGCCCTTTGAGAGTGGTTTTGATCTTATTGATTCAGTGGACTTCTCTACGTCCCTCTAACTTTGAAATCTAGGTGACCTTTTGAAGTGCATACAGTAATGTGTTTGTGTAATAACCTTCTTTCTAGTGTGAAGTTGGCTCTAAGTTCTAGAAGATTGTGAGAGATTTCATTCTGCATCTCCTGTCCAGGTGCCAGCCTAAAACTCAACTCATTTCAGGTAAGAAAAACTAATTTGCATGTCTGAACTTTTAATATCAGTATGTTACCAAAAATATGCTGATTTCTCCTTTTCATAAGTAGACTCCCTCTACCTTTGGGCCAAGCCACATCTTTAGCCTGTGCCCAGAATTAGCAAATGCCAGAAGGAAGAAGACATGCCTGTGACTATCAGCTCACTTAGAAAGGGTTCTTCAGTGCCTGTACATATTTTAAGTCTTACTTCCCCTTCCCCTCTCCCTTTCCCTCGGTATCCTGGAACTCTTCCATTTTACAAGAGATCTGTCCCCAAATACTCACATTATATGTCATAAACTTGATCTAAGAATAATAATAATAAGAAAAATATAAACAGAGAAAGGAGATTTAGATACGGAGGGAGGGAGGTGGAGGGGAAGGGGATTAAAAAATGAAACAAGGTGTTCTATGTACATATACCTACTCCCCAAGATGAATGCAAACTTCATACACTATAAACCATGTAATAATAAAATGAAAATTAAAATTAAAAAGCCAAAAAATATTTAAAAGGAAGGGCTCTTTGCTCTCTGAAATTTTAATACATTATGTCCTTGTTCCAGACCTTGATGATATCCTTAAACCTGTTGATTATGCAATTTATCTTTCTTTGGGGGGTGTTTTTTAGTTGTGGCAGGAGTGCTCCCATCCTATTTGAAAGCAGAAAAACAGATAAAATTTTACAGGCCCAGCGTTGACCTTCTCATCCATCTTGGCTCTATCACAGGTGAGTAGTTTCTGAGTGTTTCAGCCAATTTGTAGGTCGGGGAAGGGCAGGTAATGGACACACCCCTGAACCTCTCTGTTACAGATGATGGGGACTTCATAGGGGACTGATCCAGCTCTCTCCATCCCTATGCATTAGTAACATTCAACTTAGAATTCAGTCCATTTCAAGTGCCAGAAATGTGATTAATATTCACAGTTCCTTTCTTATTTAGGAGAATGAGACATAGGCACTACCCCATTACAACACACTTGCCTTTAGTTGTAGGCACACCTGAATTTGTATCCTCTGACATAGCATTTTGGAGGTTAGACGTGGAGGTTAGGCTTCCAGCTCTGCATCTTTACTTAACACGTGACCATGGAACATGTGACCATGGAGAAGTTATTTAATCCCTCAGGTCCTCAGTTTTTCCACCCATAACTTCACAGAATTATTTTATTGTGAGGATTAAGTATACTAATATATAAAGTGTGATTCTCTCATTGTTTGACACAATAGTTCTTCTATAAATACACTTAATAGATAATTAGGACATGCAATCTCATCTGATGCATAGTTTTTGAGGCTTCGGATTATTTTTGGTTACTTTTAGAGGTCATAAAATTTACATACAGTGAAATGTACAAATTTTAAGAGTTTTGACAAATGCATAACCCTGTGTAACTAACAACCCTATTTAAATGTCATTACTGTCACCTCAGAAAGTTCTCTTATACCCCTTCTCAATCAGTTCCCATTCCCCTAGATGCAACCTCTATTCTGATATTTTTCCACTATAGATTATTTCACATTTTATAGACATATGAATGGAAACATACAGTATGTGTTCTTTTGTGGCTAGCTTTTTTCATTAAGTTCAATGTTTTCAATATTCTTCCATTTCCTTGTTCTTATCAGTAATACCATTTTTATTGATGATTAGGGTCATATTTTATGAATACACCAGAGTTTTTTATTGTCTTTTTGTTGGATACTTGGTCTTTTTTTTACTTTTTTGGTCATTATACATAAAGCTGCTATAATCATTTTTATAAAGCCTTTCTGTGAACTTCCATTTCTCTTGGGCAAATACCTAAAAGTAAGATTTCTGGGACATAGCTAGGTGCATGCTGGTTTTACAAGTAATTGACAGATGTTTTACCAAGGAAGTTGTACCATTTTATACTTCTACTAGCAGTGTGTGAAAATCCTGGTTGTTCTATATCTTTGTCAACATTTAGTGTGGTCAGCCTAATTTTAGTTCATTACTTGTTCATCTTTCTTTCCTTGTCAAATGTCTGTTCATATCTTTTGCCTACTTAAAAATTGGGTTGTTTGTATTTTTATTTTTAATTGAAGAGGTTCTTATATATTCTATGATTTTTTAGGTACTGTATATTTTTTAATATTTTTCTCATTTTGTTGTCTCTTCATTTTATCAACTGCATTTTTATGAGTTGGTTCACCTTTTTACTCACTGCTGTTACCATGTATGGTTAAAGTGTGATTGTATTTACTGAGTGAGTATGCTAAAAATTGCTCTTCTTCCCAGCCAGGCATGGTGGCACATGCCCGTAATCCTAGCACTCCGGTGGCTGAGACAGGAGGATTACCATGAGGCCATCCTAGGCTACATAGTGAGATAGAGAGGAAAAAAAAACAGGTTTCTTAATCTTATGACACATTTTAGTTCATATAAGTCATGGTGGGGTGGGAGACTGAAAACATAAACAGGAATAGATGAGCTAGTTATAAGTGCCCTGACACAAAAATGCCATGAATACTTAGTGGGAAATGGTAGGATTTTGGGCCAAAAAAAAAAAAAAAATGATCTGACAGAACTTACTCTAATTGGAGATACTATATAACTGAGTGAATCAAAATAGGTCCTGTGGGGACCAGTGAGCTTCATGTTTAAGTCGCAGACCAACTGGCCCATGATTTGTTGTACTCTGGTAAATATCTAAGTAGTACAGTCAGCTTACTCTGGCTTACTGGGCCCCACTCTGGTGAGAACTGCTGAAAACTAGGCAATAACAGGCTTGAAGGTATCCTAAAAGAGTGAGATGGATGGTTGCTTCCTAAGATTCTCCTCTAGGAAAAGCCTGACTGAGGTCAGAGAAAGACAAGCAGCCCAATTTATAGCATGGCTACCCAGAAATTTAATGTGTAGATATGCCCAAGAAAAGTGGCCAAAGGTATATAGCCACACTGATCAGCTGTAGACTAGAGATATGTACTCTAATAAATCGAAAATAATGGACTAGACTAGTACTGGAAAACATGGTGAAAGGAGATGTTAAAATAAATTAATGAAAAGATTTTAGCAATTCATGTAGGACATGAATCAGCTCATTAGGATGGAAAGACAGAATTACCCATTTGAATGAGAGGAGAAAATCTGCTTCCTCCCAAAGGAATGTAAGCCCCACAGCTTGGGTTCCAACTGAGTTCCCTTGTCAGTTCAACCTAAGGTTATAAGAAAGACTTGAGAAACCTCAGGGTATATGGACATAAATGTAGTAGAGAAAGTGGGACAAAAGTATATGAGAAAGTGGGACAAAAACTATGAATCAAACAAAAAAGTGAATGGACAATATGAACTATATTAAATTACTAATAGCTTTTTATGTCCTCAATCCATTTGAAGGGGAATGAATCCATTTTAAAGGTATGGCTAACAAATGTGGCAGGAAGCTTATATTGGACTGATCCCTAGATTTTAAAACAATATTGTCTTAAAGAAGTGGGTATGCAGAGCTCACTAGACATGCAGATGAAAACAGTACATCATGGCTTTAGACAAAGCTGGAAGAACTAATGCTAGATATTGAAAGTAACCACTAAACAACCAAGTAACTGATTTTATAGCTGCAGTTGTTCAAAGTTTGGCAAAAGATAGAATGTGGGACTTTCATTTACCATGCACTACCAGGATTCAGGGCAATTAAAAGCTTTAACGAGTGGATTATTAAAAACATAGAAAACATTTAGTAGCTCCAGCTATAAATGGCAATGAGGCAAAGGTGCTAATAATGACAGAGCTAACTGAAAGACCCTGAATTCATGTCTTCCCTCAACAGAGATTTTCAAGGGATACAGGTAAACTACCTGTGTTCCTTTGTTCTCAAATTCCCTAACAAAAGATAAAGACCATGAGAAATTCAAAAAGAAGAGAGGAGGTACATCATCAGAAAGTGTCAAAAAATGAGGACCAATAGCTACAGATTCCCTTTCAGTCCTATAGACAGCTCTTGATAGGGGTATCCTATAGCCAGAAACTGTAGGATGAATAAAAGCTGAGGGATGCTAATCTTTGTATTTCTCTTTTTTCTATTATTAGGTCTGCTTTGCTGTTTTCTCTTGGCCGTGACAATCTGATGGTCATTATAATAGCAGTTTACCACTAGTATAAACAAAAGTACTATTTGTATATTTTGTGAGAGGTTCACCAATACCATCAAAAAGTTCTGTAGTACCACTGGCCTTCTATACTCCATCACCATCATATTTATGTCAACATCTTCACTTCTCATCTAAACCAACCAAAGAACCATTGTTGGTCTCCTAGGATCTACTGTTGTCAAGAACTCATTTGCTAAAGCCTTTAGTAATATTTTATCTGAAAGAATTGAAGCATGGAGCCTGTGTCATTTCCCGTACTAGTTGGTGGACTTACTGATTGTATATCCCAGTTAATAAGAATCGCTGAAGCGATTTTACACTTTATTACACAACAGCAGCAAGTTCCTCGTTTAGAGCAGAATAATAGAGTAGAACAGGTAGAGGAGTCTGCGGCTTCTGCAGATGAACCCCCACTACCAGATCTTGCTAATTTCTCTGATTTAGAATCAATACTCTCACTAAGAGATGATGAAGACCTAGTCCTTGATGTGGATCAAGCTTTGTTAGTTATAGGTGATATAAATGAAGATATATTACTTGGTATCGACAGTAATTCAAGAAAGGAATAAGTACCAGTTTTCCTTCAACAACATGTGAAAACTGATCATTTCTCTGTTTCAAACATATTCTATTTTTTCTGGACAATAGCTGCACATTTTCATTGTTAAAACTTATAGAACAAGTAAGATTTATTTTCCTTCCAGCAAAGACTTTTTTTCTTTCAGAAACTAATTTAGAGATGCTGTTTTTCCTTTACTTTTTCTCCTGTTCTTCTGTTAGGACTTCTGATGATAGGCACAAATAATAGCAAATAAAAGAATCTCTTTCAAGTTAACAATGGACTGAAGCCCTGGGACCTCTCATATGTTGGGACCCAATTTCACTGTTCTACAATGATAAACAAATTAAAAGGGGAATAACCCCTGAATGGTATTATAGTGACTATCTTCACATTAACAGGACTTTTTTAGGATACTTGTAGTTGAAAATATATAATCCCTTACTGGATCTTTAAGAGAAGATTTGTCAAACAGGATGCCATAGCAGACTAAGAGGGATAATTCTGAAGAGTGGCATCTACCAGATAATAAAACTACAGAAGGATATTCAGATGAATATTGCAAAGGAGAAACCTTTGAAAAAGCTAAGGCTAAGAGGTTCCAATGTAGGACTGTTCCCACAAATGCTAAACCACATCGCAACTACTTTGCAGTATTGTTCTCCAAATGGAAATGGCAGATTATACCAAATAACAAAAGAGAAGTACTAGAATGCCTAGCCAAAGCCCTACAAAGACTATTCACCAGTGGAAGACAAACACCTATTACAGAAGCCTAGAGATGATGGTCCACAAAGGGGAGTGGACAGGGTGTATCTTCTTGCTTATATAACTGAATTTAAAATGAATACTTGATAGGCTTTCTACAGTGGACCTGACACAGCTTCAACCTAGCAATACATTTTTTTTACTGAGAGGTAAGATCAGTAATGAATATAAACAAAATATGGACTGGCATTTAGCCACGATAATTCTCCACATACCAGAAGAGGAAAATGCAGTAGTTGAAGGACTCCCACAACAAAACAGAGAGGGAACAAATGTGAAGGAAATTCACTATATATAATATAGTGAATATATATATATATATATATATATATATATCATACTAATTCTACACCACAGAGTACCTTTCACTTCTGATTGGAAGAATAGTTATCCTTTAGACAGGCCCATGGACATTATGGTCTGCCTTCCTAGAGACTGACCTTTGTGTCTCATGACATGGCTAACAAACTAGGTAAATACATAAAGGTACACCATCGGCAATGTGGTGTGTGCAGATGGTGAGGATGTGATATGTAGAAGGCAATCCACCCCGGTGGGAACCAGATTACACTGATTATTTATATAGAGTTCCAGAGCATATTACAGTCAAAAGAATTGCAATGGCATTTAATACAGATGATTTCAGGGCCAACCACATGACAGAGGCTGCATCTAATATTAAGTGATGTCTGCATACATAGACAATGAGCTACCTTTAAAGATAAATGTAGGAAACTAGAGTATGTAATCAGGTCTTATTTGGATGAGCTGTAGTAGGAGAAACATGAGTCAGTTTGGACACTGACTTCCAGTGATTTAACAAATTTAATAAAGTGATAGCTATATCTAGAAAACCTTCTAGAGATCCTTTAGAAAAATTAGAACATATAGAGCTGTTTAACATATTAGTATGAAAGACTTCTAGCTGTGTGGATAGAATGACAAGAGTAGATGGGGATCCAAGAGACTTGGAGGGGAAACAAAAGGCACAAACAGGGAAAATAAAACTTATTCCCTCAATGGCTGTGGGTAATTACAAGCCATATTGGGCAGGAGATTGTGAAACTTTGCTGCTACAATAACTGAACAAACTGAACCTTACTTTGCCAGTGTATGGAAGTCTATAGATACACCGTTTGTTTGAAATGGCATATGATTTTTGCACTGCAAAAGGACTACGCCAAAGTAACCTAAATAGAATAGTGAGAAACCAAAAAGAATCAGCTTATCCCTCCATCCCAATAGGAACAGTTTACAAAGATTACTGATGGCAGTTAAACAAGGAAATCTATACACTTAGTGATAATTTAGCATTCTTACATTGAGTAAATATAACAAAGGACCGGATAAAAGTTGAAAAGATAGAATCTATGCCTTAATTAAAGGTTTATGAGAGCCAGGGAAGATAGACATTCCCCATGGGGAATTTGGGGTTTAGGAAATTGGTTCTATAATTTGTCTCAAAATAAAATTTAAAGCATAAATACCTGGACAAGATCAGAAAACACATCTAAAGAGAGACCACTAGTCTGCTATAAATTCTATTTGGTGAGCAATTTAGCTGAAAAAAAGACATGTTGTTCTTCAAACACAGTAGATACTGAAGGATAGGTATCTGTCCAAGTAGAACTCTAGAATGTGCTGTTCCTCAAACATGATAAATACTGAAGCGTAGCTATCTGCCCGAATAGAACTCTAGAATGTGCTGTTCCTCAAACATGATAGATACTGAAGTGTAGCTCTTTGTCCAAATAGAAATCTAGAATGTGGACTTTACTGAGCCTGTCAAAACTCCTAGGGTCTTATGAGAAAACATAAGCAACTCTACTCACTCAAGCAGGTCATTAAAATAATATCAGGAGAAATCTTTAACACTACTCCAGACCTGGAAAGAAGACTTGAGCCAGCCTGTAAAACAACTGCCAAAACAGTCCTAAGAGTAAAAGCAGGAAGATGCTATAATCTTATTGCATGAGGATCTTCCCAGTCTCTTCTATACCAGGATTCCTGGAAAGGTTGCACTGTAATGATAACTTGGGACTAGACATGCTTCAGTATTTGTTTTGATTGTGTGATTATGTGTGTTTAAGAATTGTTAAGATGTAATCCTACTCCAAAAAGATTGTTTTATTACTTAATATTTGCAGTGTGAAACAAAATTAGAAATAGTTAATAGTGATAAGTAAGTTTAGTAAATAAGAAAATACTTAGGAATAAGAAAATACTTAGGGATAAGAACTGGGGGGGAGGAATTTTTAGGAGAGAGCAGAACATTAATCAATTGTCAAAAGTCATGCAACTATTTAGGGTAGAAAGCCATTATACAGGGTTTGTTTCTAAGCAGGTTTATGAACCAGCCTATTTTTGTCTTATGTAAATTAGCTAACCCTAAGATGCTGATATAAGTCTAAAAACTCATTAGAAGAAGAAGTGTTAACTAACTTAGCCCACTGATTGGATGCTGCTGATCAAAATCCTGAATCTCCTCCAGGAGAATGGAGAGAGTAGCTTGTCCTTTATCCAGACTATCCCTTTTCTAGATCTTGAGATTAGGTGCCCAAGCCAGTTCTTATATGGAATGGAGGAATAGAGAGGTAGAGGGGCTCATCCTTCTGAGACAAGCTTAAAGGTGTTTAACTCAAGGGAAATAGGATGATAGATGGCAGTTAGGTAGTTGCACAAGTCTTCATCCATATGCACTTTGGCTACATACTTGTGTCCTTACATGTGACGATTACTTCCAGTTATTAGATTACAATTGTTTATGATCCTTATTAAATGTTGGTCCAAACTATTTTATTGTTTTATTTTAAGAGGCTTTAACTAATAAAATTGCATTACAAAGTAAGTAAATTCTGGTCATTTTAAATTACCTAGTGGGGAATTTGGAAGCTACTAAATGGACATAAAACAACTCCACTCAACAGAAAGTAGTGGCGTATAATCAGAGAGAATTTTGTATCAGAGTCTGAAGTTCTACTTCTGGCTTGTCAGATCATCTGCAACAAATCTCTAACATACTCCTTTATCATGTGTAAAATAAGGGTTATAATGATCTTCCTGATTATCTTTGATGGTAATAAGGAACAGAACGAGACACTTTTCAGTCTTTGGTATGTCTGACAGTGAACAGGCTACTGTACACAGAATCAAGACTTTTCATGGATATCTAAAAAATGTCTGAATAAGAACACTTGAAAGTCTATTTGACATGTAAAGATTATCAATTTGTTTTACACCCATTTTCTAAGAGATCAGAGCTTCCTTATTCTACTTCATGTCAAAGTTATATATAGTTTGGAATCAGCTTTTGTTTCATTCTTAGGAGTTTATTTTTCATCAAATTATATTCTTTGGGTGAGACTATTTGAGTTCTGATAGGAATAATGAAGAAAAAACTGTAATGAAAAAACTTCAGGAAATACTGAGTTTATTCCATTTAAGGCTAAAATTTTTTTTTCTTGAGGGACTTATGTAACCCTGAATATCATTAACCCACCATGATCCAAACAGATTTTTACAATTATTTTTACATCAAGTAGAATGAGCATTGTGTTTTTATGTAGATAACCTTATATTAATAGATAGTGAGTCCTCTTGGGTACACTTTCTGTTTTCTCAGGGACTCTGCTCCCTCCAATACACATTTAAAACTTGTTTTTCTTCTATCTGTATAATGCTTACAAATCAACCAACCAACCAAAAGAAAATTTCTAACAAAAATAAAAATAACTCCTAGTTCCTAAGGTTATTTGGGAGTTCTTTGCATTGACAGATAACAACCATCTATTACTTTTGAATAGCAAATGTCTTCAAGGTAATAAAGAATTTTTGAAGGTGATCATCATTATACTTCTGAAGAATAGAGCAGCCTTTTAGCAATATAAGGAAAACCATTTAACTCTTTATCTTGTCATAATTTCATTTTAAAGAACTTGGAACAATACTGAAAACATCTCAAGAGTTTTTTTTTTTTTTACTTTAATAGTAAAGTAATAGGATTTGTGTAAAGTGTACTGCTGGGTACACACTTATGAAACACAACTTAAGTTGTTCAGATTCCTTTAATCAAAGATGTTATTAACAAAATAAGTTGCTGAAGACACATAAACATACATGCCTGTATGACACATTCTGGGAATGATAATCATTTTAATAGTCATATTCTTACTTAAACTTGAGGAAACACTAGAATATTTTGAAAGTGTATATTCTAAAATTTTAATGTTGACACTCTCCTAGCTAGTTTTGGAAATCAGTTGTCCTGCAGCTAATCTTTAGAGAAAAAATATTGCTGCCCCCAGTACTTGAGATTGAACCAAGGGCTTTCACAATGAGATACAGCCCCAGCATCCTACCCCCTTATTTTAAATTTTGAGACAGGGTCTTGCTAAGTCACTAATTGCCCAGTCTGGACTTGAACTTTTCATCTTCTTGCCTCAGCCTCCCAGAGTGCTAGGATCACAGGCATGTACCACCATGCCTAGCTATATTGTCTGTTTTTTATGGAATACATATTTTTAGCTGAGGCTTTAAGAAGCATGGTGCCTGTCTGAAACTTAAGGTATGAGTGGACTTATCTTTGGGTCCTTTCCCCTGGTGCAGGAATTCTTAATACTCCTCTCTCATAATACCTTTACTCATTGAGAAATTATCCATCTGTGCTATGTATTTCTTCATCTTTCCTGGTTGAATTTACATCATCATTTAGAAGAAATTTGAGCAGGATGTCATCAGGGATGGCACTAAAAAGTGAAGAAGTGGCACATCTGCTCTGTTCTAGTCCTGATTTTAGTCACTAAAGAAGTATCCCATCTATCCTTGAGGATAGAAATGCGTGGTCCAACTGACAACAAGCATGGAGTCAAGTAGGAAAGATAAATTTTCTCTTCTAGTTTAGGTATCCCATACCCATCTAGAGGAAATTGCTCCTTGAATAATCCTAGCCTTAGGAAAGAATTACTACACATTCCTTTACCAGACTTCTTTGGGATTGAAGATCATCTGGGAAAATTATATTTTAAAAAATGTCTCTAACTTGTTTAGGGGCTCCCAACATGTAATTCTCTGACTGTGTTCCATCAGATTCTTGAGTATGACCTACTTAAAATTAAAATGTTTTCCTCCTATGAAATAACACACAAACTGCCTCCAAGGAATTTGAGGAATTTTTTTATAACACCAAAAAGTTGTGTTCACTTGCCATAGGCATAATGAAAGGATAAAGTTAGGTTTCATTCCTTTGTGTCCAAAATAAAGATTGATTTCCTAATTAATCATATCCTATAGGAAGAGAGATTTTTCCCACTGCAAAAAACTGATGATCAAATCTATCCCATAATATGATAAATGATCAAGATCATAATCTTTTTGTACATGTGTGTATGCTTCATTTTAAAGAGTAGATTGTGGATATTTATTGAACAGACCTTGTCTGCTACCTTAAATCAGAGACTTTTAAGAATGAAATTTTCAAGGACAGTTGAATCACTGGACCCTCAGTAACTCACATGATTATATTTATTACTAAACATACTAAAGTTAAGATTACAAGAACAGAGCACCTGGAAGGAAGCTCCCCCACCGCCATCCCAAGATCCTAGGGCAGAGAAGCTGAGCCAGTCCCAGCACCTGGAAGGAAGCTCCCCCACTGCCATCCCAAGCTCCTAGGGCAGAGAAGGTGAGCCGTGCGGGTGCGTGAAAATGAGAAGACATGTAAATAAGCCTCAGAAACAGACTTCTGGATAACCTACAGCAACCCCAAAAGGAAATGAGATGGAACAATCTGATACTCAACTACCTGGACTCTCTGAACTGGCAACAAAAGAGGATCTGGGAAAAATGAAATCAGAAATAATTACT